CATTCTGAAAGGCATAGCTGAATTAAAAGAAATAAACTAAACTTGAAAAAACTACTTCAAAACAAAGTTACAACAGGATTATATAAAGTTAATTCTGATGGCATTTATCGACAACTATAAAATTATTGAGAACAGTAAAATTTTCAGTGGACAGGTTGGTACATATTTTATATGCCTCAGTAGAACATTTGTAACAAATTACCTTGAAAATCACTCCCACCATGCCTTAATATAAGCTGTTAAAAACAAATCTTTTCCTAACTTAATTTGCCATAAGCTTTCAGAGCATAATTTGCTTATGCAGTTTTATTGAAAACATTACATAACAAAAATACATTAATAGAAAATACAGGGAAACATTATTTCTATGGGTATGCCCTTGCCATGGTTTGAACACCCCCCAAAGAATCCATGAGATTAGAGACTCAGAGCCCAGGTTGGTGTTACTGAATGGTGGTAGAACCTATGTGAGGTGGGGGCTAGTGGAAAGTCCTTAGTTCATTAGGGGTGTGAGAAAGCTCTGGAGTTACCCCTTGGTAGTCTCACAAGAGGTTGCTATAAAAGGAGCTAACTTGACCCACCAACTCTTACTCCTTCCAGGCTTCAGATTTGTTTGCTCCAAAATACAATCCTACCACGTCACATGAAATCTGCCATGGGGCCCTCACCCATAACTGAATCTAGGCAGGTGACATGCCCTTAGTAAATCTCTTTCTCTTCAGGTGAAGGTAATAGTGACAAAAAGTTGACAAATATGATTCCATATCAAGAATGCAACCAAGAAAGTGTCATAATTTGGAAGGGTTCGAAGGAGTATTTTCCTTTAGCTAAATCAGGATGGTATAATATCTCACTTTAGCACATCTTGACCCAAGCTGGCTTATTCCGTGTGTTAGGCAATATGGTTTTAGTTTAAGAACATTTCTGCAGATCTGAGTCTTTCAGAGATGACTGTCATTTATACTGAGAAATAGGTTCAATGCTCTATTTTAGGCAGCCTTCTTTAAATGTGCTAATTTCAAGGAAGAATAAGTAAATCTGCATTCCAAGTTCAGGGTAAACACTGTGTCACTAGAAGAATGAACAACTTAGATGGAGGTAGATCTCAGATGTTTTGGTACTTTTGACATTGCCATACATTATGTGCAGTTATGGGAAGAGGCCTTTACAATTAATCATCTTACTTTAATACAAAGAAACTACAACAGAAAGCTAAATGAAACACATATAAAATGTTCTGTACTGATTATACTACAGCCTAATACCTGCACTATCATACACTTAAGTCAAAACTACACAGGACTTAATCATTTCTGATTTTATTATTTTTCACTTCAGAGAAGAACATTTTAGGGTAGAAAAGAAGTCCAGTAAACTGACTGTCACTAATTCCACAAATTCAGAAACAGTTGCGCTTGAAAAAAAGGATAATTCAGTTGAATTGCTCCAGGATCAATTATGTCAATTTTTTAAAAATTGTATTTAACTGTGAATCACTTTAAACAATGAGAAAAATTAAGAAACTAATAGGTATATGACCAAACCACCAAGACTAAAGGAAGTTATTATAGCTCTTCTTCAAAACTTTATCCTAACAAAGAAAGAGAAAAGCTTTACATAAAACCCACACCTCATTCACTCTCTTTCTGCCACTCCTTCAGCCTCCAAAGAGAACCTTTATCCAAATACTGGTTTGTACCAACTTTAATTTTTCCAACATGTTTCTATTTTTATTGTGACAAAAATGTATAAGAGTAAATTTGCTACTTAACTACTTTTAAGTATACGGTTCAGTGGTGTTAAACATATTCACATTGGTGTGCAGCAGTTTTAGAACTTTTTCATCCTGCAACACAGAAACTCTATATCCAATGAACACTAACTCCTTGTCAACGACCTCTCTATATCACTTCATTCTTCCCTTTCAATATTGAGTTGGCTGTTGTGGATTTTATGCCTTTCCATATAAATGCTAGAATAAGTTTGCCTACAACATACCTTGCTAGAATTTTGATTCCTATTTCACTTATAGTTTAAGTTGGGAAATACTGACATCTTACAATACTGAGTCTTCCCATATATGTTTTTGCATTCTTATCACCAAAGTATTTTCTACTCAAACATACACTAGTATGTGTGCCTTTGAAGTCTTTATATGTTTATAATTAATAATTTTATATTTTATAATTTCATCATACATTTTTAATTGGCACTTTCACCAATATAATTTTGACATTTAGCTCTTGATATATGGAGAATTAATCTATTCATTTTAACTGCTTTATTCAAGTAAAAGATTACCCACAGTTGAATATTCTTGTATAAATCATCTATAACTCATATATCTATTTTTAAAAAGGTCTGCAAAATTACATATGAAGTTTTCATTCATAAAGTATGCTACAAATGGACATCTTGGTACAGTTTCTGTGAATCAATGTTAGAGGGTTTCCAAGACAGGCAATGAAATGAAATTGCACAGTCACAGATGATTAGTCAGCTTAAATATTTGTTCCCAAAAGGGGTTGTAAAACACATCTCTACCCAGAAATGCTGAATGTCCTCACATTCTAGGTAATACTTGGCATTATCAGACTTCTTAAATGTTTGCCAGTATAATGGGTATGAAATGATAATTCCTTGATATTTTAATTTTTCCCTAATTATCAAAGTTATGTAAATTACTGAATTATACAAATTACTAAAATTATAATTTTAATTAAATACTTTTAAATGCTTTTTTTCATCTAAAGTACCATTCTAGTGTCTTACTCCAGCTCTTTTTTGTTAGATTCATTGTCTTGTTCTCATCAATTTACAGTTTTTTTTATTTTCATCTAATGAACATGAATTCCACTTATTTAACTTTGTAATGACTTAGAGCATTACTTTCTGTCATGCTTTTAACTCAGGTGATGCTAGAAATGACTTTATGTCTTACATAAACTTTCATTAACCAAAAATGAATTTTGAACAATTTTAATAATAAAATATATCTAGGATAATAAGCCTATGTTATGTCAGGAACCTATAACAAAATAGCATAGGTAGGATAAACACTTCTTTCTCATGGTTCTAGAAGGTGGGATTCTCAAGTAAGTGTGTCAGCATGATGTTCTTCATCACATGGTATGGTTATGTCCTCACATGGCCTTCAGACAGCAGAAAGCAATTTTATTTTCTCTTTTTATGACCACATTAATCCGATCATGAGGGTCCTACCTCATGATCTAATCTAATTCTAATCATAAAGATCCTGCTTGAATACCATCACATTAAATGACTGAGGGATGGAGGTACAGGGAGAAGGGTACATAAGCATTTAGTCTGTTGCAAAGCTTATGATTTTTTTCTTTTTTTTTGTCTATGATTACTTCTAATAAGGCTAATGTTGGAATACAAATTTATATTTTAAAAACAAATATGGATTTGTCTCTTTAAGCAAAAAATGCTAGAAGTTTTGCAGATGAAACAAAAATTGCAAAGGTGAAATGGAAATGACTGAAGTTTTAACTTAATAAGAAGCAAAGATTAGCCTGGTTTGATCTGATCTTCCAGATTGCTAAATCACAGGGTAACCAATCCACCTGCACATCTGTCATATGGAAGATTTCCTAAATTGACAACTCAGGCTGAAGATGGACTCCTTGTACTGGACAGGATAGAAAATATCCTTCGAGAAAATGAATCTTAAGGAGGAATCAAAATGAAATGCAGAAACTAGTAGAACAGGAAGTGTGATAGTGAAGAGAAATCAAAATGAAATGAAGAACTCAATAGATCAAACGACAAACACATTAGAGAGCCTTAGAAACAGAGTCAGTGAAACAGAAGAGAGAATATCGGACTTAGAAGACAGAGCACAGGAAAGTATACACTCAAACCAAAGAAAAGAAGAGGAAATTAGAAATCTAAAAGATGGCCGGCGCCACGGCTCACTAGGCTAATCCTCCGCTTTGCGGAACCGGCACACCGGGTTCTAGTCCTGGTCGGGGCACCGGATTCTGTCCTTGTTGCCCCTCTTCCAGGCCAGCTCTCTGCTGTGGTCAGGGAGTGCAGTGGAGGATGGCCCAAGTGCTTGGGTCCTGCACCCCATGGGAGACCAGGAGAAGCACCTGGCTCCTGCCTTCGGATCAGCGCAGCGCGCCGGCCGTGGCGGCCATTGGAGGGTGAACCAACGGCAAAGGAAGACCTTTCTCTCTGTCTCTCTCTCTCTCACTGTCCACTCTGCCTGTCAAAAAAAAAAAAAAAAGAAATCTAAAAAATATTGTTGGGAATCTACAGGATACTATTTAAAAAAAAAAAAAAACCATTTGGGTTCTAGCAGTTCCTGAAGGCATGGAGAGAGAGAAAGGATTAGAAGGCCTTTTTAGTGAGATACTTGCAGATAACGCTATTTAAAGTTGAGTTGTTTGCATTAGGTTATTTCTCCTCACTATCTTTGTGATGCCTAGGAGACTTCCTGGTTGAGATGCTGAGTAGGAGATTAGTCTGGAGTTCAGGGGAAAATTTGGAGATGGAGATATAAATCTGGAAATCTGGAAAACACATTCCTTTGTAAATCTATAATATGTAAAGGAAGTTGTTGACAACAATCCTTAAGAACATGTATAGTGTAGTGCAAGAATGAAACACCACTGAAGAATACTGAGAGTTTAGTAAAGTCTCCAACATGGTGTCACAGAATTGTAACCCCTTTGGTTATTATAACTGCTCAAATATAACAGAATTGCAGTATAACTTCAGGCATGAGTTCCCAGCACTTTTCATATATGAGTTAGAAACCTAGCTGATCCAAACCTCTTTATTATGTTTTCAAAAATGTGAATACTATTTAATATGAAAGATTTACACAAAATGTCTCCATCATTAATAGATTTGAAAAACAGAATAAAAGAGGGTATCTTGGGACCTTTGTGAAAATAAACTTTTGATTTCTTCTGCATATTTTTCAAGTAAACACATTTAAAAATACTCATACACTGAAATTTTTCTCTTACCGGGATACAGAGTACAGTCCATGAACGACAAATCATCAATTGCAATATCTCCAGTGAAGCCATCTCCCACTGAAGCCTCCACCAAAATCTAAAAGGAATATAAAGAAAATTTCAGAAACTGTAAGAGAATTAATCTGGTACTTAGAAGTGAATTCAGAAGATACTTAAAGATAATCTTCAGGGCCGGTGCTGTGGCATAATGGGTAAAGCCGCTGCATGCAGTGCTGGCATCGCATATGGGTGCTGGTTCGAGACCTAGCTGCTCCACTTCTGACCCAGCTCTCTGCTAATGTGCCTGGGAAGGCAGAGGAGGATGGCCCAGGTCCTTGGACCCTTGCACCCACGTGGGAAACACGGAAGAAGCTCCTGGCTCTTGGCTTCGGATCAGCATAGCTCTGGCCATTCTGGCCAGTTGGTGAGTGAACCAGCAGATGGAAGACCTCTCTCTCCCTCTCTCTCTCTCTCTCTCTTGCTCTCCCTCTGCCTCTCCTCTCCGTGTAACTCTGACTTTCAAATAAATAAATAAGTCTTTAAAAAAATATAAACCTCTCCTGAGCCATTAACAAAACACTTTTCAAAAGTCTCTGGAAGTGTTCATCTGGCCTCTCTTGAAAATGTCCAGTAACAGGAAACTCTGAGCCTTAATGAGTCCATTAGACTCATGAACTCAATCTGTTTCTGATAAGTTTCAGTTTTCTGAAATTTTAATATATCAGATTGATATGTATTCCCCATAATGCTCAATAATTAGTTTTAGATTTGCTTTGTTTTCCTCTGATCCTCCAAGGCAAAGTATTATCCTCTGTTTCCACTTTGCCTTGGCTGAAGTTGCTGTTTCCCATGCTATTAAACATCTCATTCTTCTAGAAATCCAGTTTGACACCAGCATTACCTGCTAAGATGTACATTTAAATTTTTATTTTTGCAAATTTGTTTGAAGGACAAATAGAGAGACAGAGACAGAAAAACCCCCCAACTGCTGGTTCACTCTCCCAAATGCCCACGGCAATTGGGGCTGGACCATGCAACAACTCAGAAACTCAGTCCAAGTCTCATGTGTATGTCGAGAGCTGCTGCCTCACAGGGTGCACATTATGTGAAGCTGGAGTGGGTAGTGGATCCAGAATTTGAAAACAGGCACTCCAACATGGATGTAGGCATCTTAAATGGTGTCTTAAGAAATGTACCAAACATCCATCCCCGATGTACATTCCTAAAACTTCTCACACAGAACTCACTCTGTAAGACTTTAGGAAAACGGCTAATTCTGACTAGATCTCTTTTGGAGCCACATTAATCACAGTTAACTCACATGACATTTGTGCTATTACAGGGGCTGTGACTCCACCAAAACCCAAGTAAGATAAAAAACATTGACAAACGACAATAGTATATGATGTATTGTGATTAGGGTAGAGGTTTACTATAATAAAATTAATCATGATGAATTACTTTAATACTCATGCAAATATGTTGCATACTTACTAGGAATCTGGCCATAATTAAATAATAAAGGACTTCAAGCATTAAAAATCACATTCCTTTCTTCCAACTCTTTCAAAGAATATATGTTTCCATTTCATTTTCCCTATAAATTCCATATGTGCAAGTTCAAATTTTTATTTTGTTTTGCAAATTATAATACCATATACAATATACAGAGATTTCAAAAAGTTAATGGAAAATAGAATTAGAAAACTTGAAGTCCATGCATATAATGGGTCTTGAAAATTGCATAACAAATTATGAATGGATTTCAAAACTTTGTTCTACTAAAATCAATTTAGTTTCTATTTCTTCATGGGCCTTTTGAAGTATCCTCATATTTACTGAAGTCATAGTATAAGGAGAGACTTTCAAAGGTCAAATTGTTGACCTCAAACTCCTTGTCATCTTCCCCCAAACTTTCCATCTTTCTTGAGGTCTACCAGGGTTTTCTTCCTGATTTGTAACTGAGGAAATAAATCAACTTGAGAAAGGTCCATGCAACTGCCTAACTGGTAAAAATATAGTCCATCTGATACTGCAAAGGCCATTTATTGATGTTATACAGGTAAAATATACCATATCTGACTTCCAGTCACAAATTAGCAAATATGGGAAAAAATAGAGGGAGAAAAAGGCAGGTAAATATGACCCACAATGAGAAGTAAAACCATTCAATTGAAAGTGATCTAAAAATGGTATAGATCTCAAAATTATCAAAGACAATTGTGGCACAGGGAGTTAAGCGGTTACCTGCAATAACAGACAGCAAAGGAAAACCATGAACTTCAAAACACTTTAGTCTGTGTCTTAAAAACTTTTCCACATGTTCCAGTTAGTCCACTCTTGCGTTTTACCCAAAATAAATATATATATATACACACACATATATATTTACACACACACATACACACCCAAATATATATGTACACACACAAATGTTCACATTTACTAATAATAGCCAAAACTAGAAATATCATAAATATCAATAAATAAGTCACTGAAGAAGTTGTGCTTTAACTCAAATGAATTATAAATCCATACTGTAACATAATAGAATTTCAAGAGGCTGGCATTGTGGCATAGCAGGATAAAGCTGCTGCCTACAGGGCGGCATCCCATATGGGTTCCAGTTCGAGTCCCAGCTGCTCCACTTCTGATCCAGCTCTTTGCTATGGCATGGGAAAGCATTAGAAGATGACCCAAGTCCTTGGGCCCCTGCACCTGCGTGGGAGACCAGGAAGAAGCTCCTGGCTCCTGGCTTTGGATCTGTGTAGTTTTGGCCATTGCAGCCATCTGGGGAGTGAACCAGCAGATGGAAGACCTTTATCTCTCTCTCTCTCTCTCTCTCTCTCTCTCTCCCTCTCTCTCCCTCTGCCTCTCCTTCTCTCTCTCTCTGTGTAACTCTGACTTTCAAATAAATAATAAATAAATAAAAATCTTTAAAAAAAAGAAAAGAAAAGAGAGGAGCTTTACCACACCCAATTTGGGTGTCACTTTGGACATTCCCCTCACACTGGAGCACTGTACAGAGCTCCTGAAATATAAATGCAGCGATTCAAGTATCAAAAATAAGGAAGACACCATGATGCCTTCAAAGGAACACAACAGAACTTCAATACTAGTAAGTGAAAATGAAGAGACTGAAGAAATGCTGGAAACATAATTCAAAAAATTGATCATAGGATTACTGAGAGTAATCAGAAGCAAATCCAGGAATTAAAAAAATCCATACATCACATGAATGAAAATTTCTCCCATGAAATTGAGATTTTAAAGAGAAATCAAAATGAAATATTGGAAATGAAGAATTCAATGGATCAAATAAAAATTTATGTGGAAAGCATAAACAACACACTCAGTAAAACAGAAGACAGAATATCCAAGTTAGAAGACAAATCTCTAGAAATTTTACAGTCAAACCAAAAAAAGACAAGAAAATTAGAAAACTAAAAAGCAGTGTTATAGGATACTATAAAACTAACCAACATATGGGTCTCATGAGTTCCTGAAAGTACGGAAAGACAGAATGGATTAAAAGGCCTTTTTAGTGAAACGATCACAGAAAACTTCCCTAATTTGGAGAAAGGGACATCCAAGTACAGGAAGTACATACAACTCCTAATAGACATAAACAGAAAAGATCCTCACCATGACACATTGTAGAAAAACCCTGCACAGTAAAACATAAAGATTCTAAAATATGCACAAGAGAAATGCCAGATTACTTTCCAAGGATCTCCAATTAGACTCACATCAGATTTCTCATCAGAAATCCTACAGGCTAGGAGAGAATGGCAAGATATATTCTAAGTCTTAAGAGAAAAAAATGTCAATCCAGAATACTATACCCTACAACACTCTCCTTTATGAATGAAGGTGAAATAAAGACGTTCCATAAAAAAGAAATTGAAAGAATTTGTCACCACTCATCCAGCCTTACAAAAGATCTTTAAAGATGTATTACACACAAAGAAACATGGTCATCACTATGAAAGAAGGTGAAAGCAGAAACTCTCCCAGTAAAAGTACAAAGGAAATCCAAAATAAAAAATAGAAATATTTATGGGAAAATGGCAAGGCAAAGTTGTTACTTATCAATAGTCACCTTGAATGTAAATGGCCTCAACTCTCCAGTTAAAAGATACAGACTGGTTGAATGGATTAAAAAACAAAGCCCATCTATTTGCTGCCTACAAGAAACACATCTCACTTACAAAGATACATGCAGACTGAAAGTGAAAAGATGGAAAAAGATATTCCATGCTAACAGAAACCAAAAAACAGCTGCTGTCACCATCCTAATATCAGACAAAATTGACTTCAACTCAAAAACTTTTAAAAAGAGACAAATAAGGGCACTATGCAATGATTAAGGGATCAATTCAACAGGAAGATATGAATCTAATAAATGTATATGCACCAATTATAGGGCTTCTGTCTATTTACAGGAAATGTTAATGGATCTAAATGGAAACATAGGCTCTAGTACAATAATAATGGGGGATTCCAATACTCCACTTTCAGCAATGGACAGATCAACCAGATAGAAAATGGCAAGGAAACCACAGTTAGTTGACACTATAGACCAAATGAACCTAACGGCTATCTTTGGAACTTTTCATCCTACAGTTGCAGAATACACATTCTTCTCACTAGTGTTTGGAACTTTCTCTAGGGTAGACCACATGCTAGGCCATAAAGCAAGTCTCAGCAAATTAAAAAAAATCAAAATCATACCATGCATCTTCTTTGATCACAATGGAATGAAGCTGGAAATCAACAACTAAAGAATCTCTAGAACATATGCAAACACATGGAGACTGAACCATATGTTCCTGAATGAACACTGGATCACAGAATAAATCAAAAGAGAAATCAACAAACTGTTGAGGAACAGGTTTTTTTTCATACCATTTGTTGAACTCTGTACTTAGTATAGAGTTAATCTTCTGGGTATAAAATTAATTGAAAATAGATCTTAGTAAAATGTTAACAGTGGGAATAGGAGATGTGGGAGGAAGAAGGGTGGAAGTGTAGGTGGGAGGGTAGGTACAGTGAGAAGAAGCACTTTATTCCTAAAGTTGTATTTATGAAATTCATGAAGTTCATATACCTTAATAAAACAAATCTAGGGGACTAATGATTGTGCTGACTGAAAACAATACATATTGTACAATTTTATGTATATAAAATTTTAGAAAGCATAAATCAATTATAGTGGCAGAAAGTTGGTGAATAGATGTTAAAGGATAGGAATGGCAAGGCCAGAGGGGTGTATTATAAAGCATAATGAGGAAACTTTTGAAGTTGAAGAATATTTTCATTATCTCGATTGTGGTGACGGTTTTAAAACTTCCAACATCTGTATTTTATTGTCTGTCAATTATATCTTAATAAAGCTTGTAATAAAAAGTAGAGAGTTGAACTGACATTTTTATAACATGGTTTGATGTCTTAACTGAATATGCCACACATAGAGTTTGATATTTCAGTTGAAATCATTAAGCTAAACAATTCCTGTATACTTGATTTACAATCTAGTCCTATTAAATTTGTTTCATTTTAAGTGAGTTTTCCTGAAAAATCTTTGAATTTTTCTTTTAATAAAAAAAAATCTAATGAGTGTGTATTACTGGCCAGGCATAATGCTAGGCCATTTCATTGAAAATTTGAAAAATTAATTAAAATTTTGGTTGTTACTGTGTCTCTTTCTCAATAAAAAAAAATTCTGTATATTCATTATTCAAAAGACAGAAATACACAGTTGCTTAAATTGGACCCCATTTTTACTATCTTGAACAATTAATTCATAGAGAGTACAGAATCTCTGATTTCATTTTTTTCATATCTTAATTTTGTGTCTTAAAGGAAGCTAAAAGAATCACTTGATAAAATCAAACAGAGTACTCCATGTTAATGCAAGGTGGGTTTCAAACCTCACTTTTATGTGTAGATTCATTATCAAAGACTTCCTTGGTAATTTGCATGATTATCTGGCCATAAAACTGCTTCCCTGCAAAGTTGATCTTCTGGAAAACAATTCTTGACTGAATATCACAAGAAGAACTAACCCACTGCATTATAGTTTGACCCAAATTACAACTGTCCTGATTAGAAATTAAGAATTCATTTAAGGGACTGGCACTGTGGCACAATTGGTAAAGCCATTGCCTGTGACATTGGCATACTATACGGTATAAATATGTGTCCAAGCTGCTGCTCCACTTCCAATCCAGCTCCCAACTAATAGCCTGAGGAGAAAAGGACGATGGCCCAAGTGCTTGAACTGCTGCCATCCACGTGAAAGACTCAATGAAGCCCTTTGCTCCTGGCTCCAGCTTGGCTCAGCTCTGGTCATTGTGGCCACTTGGTGAGTGAACCAGAAGATGGAAGACCTCTCTGTCTCCCCCCCCCCCTTACTCTGACTTTCAAATACATAAACTTTTTTTTTACAAAAATAATTAATTTGAAGGAGGAGCCATTACTAAATAAACAAAATTTCCCTTCAATTACATTTCCTATGCTTGAATATATTTACTATTGTGAACAGAAAGATTTCATATCATGTATGGCAGATTAGTTCTCACACTTTTAGTTTATGTCAATCTGAACAAATCACCCATCCCAATCCCACTGTGTTCAATAATGAGGCATGTATAAAGCACATCCATGATTGTCAGAAGCACTCAAATGGTGCTTTGGAACTAAGTTCTTGACCATAAAAGTGTTGAGTAGATGGTGATGTTTAGATAGAGACAGTGTTTTGCTAACTAAAAGAAGTTTAGTACATGTAAAGAGAAAAAAAGTTTAGCCAGGGATAGGGAAGAGGTTTCTTCCAGCATATATATTTGTAAATCTATTTGACTCTGAGGAAAAAAACAAATACTCAAGACCCATACATTTATGGTCTAAAGAATATATTGGAAAGGAGATGAAAGTGAATCACTTAAAAGCTCTGAGTCTCAGTCCAAATCCTAGCTCTGTATTCACAAGCTCTTTGCCTGTGGATAAACAACAGTCTCTCTAATCTTTTTTCTCCACATATGCAAAACTGCTTTAAAAAAAAAACTCTGACATTCACCTCAGGAAATTACTGAATCAAATAGAAAACATATATAAAAAATTCTTTATAAAATTCCAAGAGCTGCAAACATATTTGAATATGCACTGCAAACCTAATTTTAGGAGAAAACAGATGAGGTTTATGGTTAAGAATATTAACCTTAGGAGGGCAGACACCAGGACACAAACTCCAGCTCTTCCCAGAGCAGCTATGTTATTTTTGAATAACGCATGTACTCTGCCTAGATTTCAGTGGCTTAACTATAAACTGTTAGAGATCAAATAAAATATTCAAAATCACAGATTTGAGAGTCTATGCTTTCTGCAGAATATTAGAGATTATACCAAAATTTTTTTCTTCCCCAAGATTTTTTATTTTGTTGGACCAAGTAATTAAAATCAGAGGGACATGCAACTGTTCCCAATGCCATACAATCATCTTTAGAGAGTCTAATTACATATTATATGGGGATATTCAAGGAGGAAAACAATTTTAAAAGCCTGGGGACACCCTTAATTAAGTGATAAATGTGCATCAGAGTAACTCAGATTAAATTCCACTTGATTTAATTCAAGAATTTAGTGATTTTTCATATTTCTTAGACATTCTGAGGGTTTCAAATACACATTATGAAAGCCATTAGCCATACCTGAAAAGGCTTCCTGCTGGAAATGGAGAGGTGATTTCTGATCCATCTGTTGCCTTGATTCCCAAATATCTGCCACAGCAGCTGTCCCCTTGCATTGCTCCAGATCCTCTGGTAGATGGCCAGCCTATATATGTGCTTTCCAAACATGTGGTAGTGGAAGCGGAAAGTGCAGCCCTCTCTACCAGTGGCATTCAGGATGGGGCTGAGTAAAATTGCATTGTTTTCAAAAACCTGTGGCTCTGAAGATTCTATGTAGAGGTAGTGTCCTCTGGCTGTGCCCAGAGTATTATCTTTCATTGGTCCTGTATTAAGTGTTGAAGTTGAACCTTGGTTCCTGGTCCAATCAAAGTCATCTTCTGTATCTTGCTCCCAGTTACAAAGTCCATTTTCAAAGTTACACTGCAGTTCAGGCACTGAAATGGCATTAAATAATAGCCAAAGATAATTAAGAACAATATTAAATATAAAACAGAATTTTAAATGATAGTTTATACTTTGTTAATTCTAAGGTAAGCCATTTTAGTGTTAAAATGTAACACTAAACTTTTAAAAAGTTAAGAGTCAATCCTGGGGCCAGCATTATAGCACAGAGTTAGGCCACCACCTGCAACACCAAGGTCCCATATGAACAGCAGTTCAAATCCCAGCTGCTCCACTTCTGATCTAGTTCCCTGCTAATGTACCTGGGAAAGCAGCAGAAACGGCCTAAGAGCTTGGATTCCTGCACCCATGTGAGAGACCACATTTAGTTCTAAGCTCCTGACTTCAGCCTAATCCACCCTCAGCCATTGTGGCCATTGAGGAGTCAACAAGCAAATGGAAGATCGATCTCTCTCTCTCTCCCTCTCCCCCTTTCAAAATAAATATATCATGTTTTTTAAAAAGTGAGTAAATCTTAGATAATCCATAAAGCAATACTATTTTATAGATTGAAGAAGGAATTGCTTTGGCCATTATTTTCAAAAAAAAATTTTTTTTTGACAGGCAGAGTGGACAGTGAGAGAGAGAGACAGAGAGAAAGGTCTTCCCTTGCCATTGGTTCACCCTCCAATGGCCACCGCGGCCGGCGCACTGCGCTGATCCGATGGCAGGAGCCAGGAGCCAGGTGCTTTTCCTGGTCTCCCATGGGGTGCAGGGCCCAAGCACCTGGGCCATCCTCCACTGCACTCCCTGGCCACAGCAGAGAGCTGGCCTGGAAGAGGGGCGACCGGGACAGAATCCGGCGCCCCAACCGGGACTAGAACCCGGTGTGCCGGCGCCGCTAGGCAGAGGATTAGCCTAGTGAGCCACGGCGCCGGCTCTATTTTCAAAAATTTTTAATGCCTCTCCCTTCAAACTTCTGGCTCAGTGAACTGCAAACTCAGCTGAATATTCCAATTACCAGGCAACGCTTAAAAAGTAAATAAAAACACCAAAGTCCTGATTTCATCCTGAAGGATGTTGATTTCAAGGGGTAACGCCACAATCAGGATTTTTTAGAAGCTCCCTCAGTGATTCTGATAGGCAAAGCTAAGAACAATCATACTACAATGGGTCTCAATATTTAAGAATCACCTGGGCTCACATATTAGGTATGGGATGAAGGCAAGAAATCGACATTTTTTAAACACAGATCAAGATGATGTTGGTGTAGGTGTTTTCCTTCCAGACCTTATCCTGAAAAAAGCTTCTCTTTGGTTCTATTCTGTTCCAGTACCAAGTGTTCCTACACATCAGTGCCAGAATAATATAATCTTTCAATGGCGGTGGTAGCTTTCCTTCTCTATTCAAAATCCTTCAACACATCCTAATTTAATCTAATCTCTTGTATCTTCCAAATACCACCTTTTCCAGATTTAAGTGACTTCCTGTTTGCTCCATCATTTTTTCCACCCTTCACAAGCCCAATCTTCCCTATGCCTTCTGAACATCTCAACGTCCCTCAAGCTCTATTTGTGCTAATGTTATGTCAAGTGCTTTGGCAATTCTTTACTATTTTAGGAATGGTAGTCCTTTCTTCTCACTAAATTTTTTGTGTCTATGAACTGGAGCTTTTAAGCTTCTCTTTTTAGTCACTAAAACAATCCAAACACTTATACAGAAGTGACCAGTTTCTTATCAATTGAATATCCAAATTGCTAAGGAAATATAGGACATATTCATTTTGCAAGATGTGAAGATTTTGTCGTAACCAAGTATTTTCTTTGAACAAATGGGATGAAATATACACTTGACAGTATTTGGGCAGAGATGACTAGATTTAGAATTAGCAGGTAGTTCTGAATCTAAGCTTCATTTGTGTAGTACTTTAAAGAAAGTAAATGCCTGCTGTCTTTGAACTATTTGTCTTAGTAATGGCACTGGTGCTCAAGATGAACAAACATTCTGTAAGGATAAATAAAAGGGTAGAGGCCGGCGCTGTGGCATAGTGGGTAAAGCCACTGCCTGCAGTGCCAGCATCCCATATGGGCAAAGGTTCAAATCCCGGCTGCTCCACATCTGATCCGGCTCTCTGCTGTAGCCTGGGAAAGCAGTAGAAGATGGCTCAAGTCCTTGGGCCCCTGCACCCGCGTAGGAAACACGGAAGAAGCTCCTGGCTCCTGGCTTCAGATCCGCACAGCTCCGGCCATTGCAGCCAATCGGTGAGTGAACCAGCAGGTGGAAGACCTCTCTCTCTCTATGTCACTCTGCCTCCCCTCTCTCTGTGTAACTCTGATTTTCAAATAAATAAATCTTTAAAAAAAATAAAACGTTTTGTGAATAAGCATAGCCAGACGAGAACAAATCATCTATCTCTGTGAAAACGACAGGACAGGAGCTTAGACCTAATGAAGGAAACCAAGTGAGTAAATGCCAAATGCAAGAGGAGCTTTCATGGAGTGTTTCCCTACTTGTGAATAATCAAGCCCAGCTGTGACATGAACTGGGCTGCACTATGCGTTCTCCAGGTGTCAGTTTTTGACTGTGGAACAGAAGGAGAATGTCCAGTTGTGTTTTTGACATAAAACTGATTCCGAAGCCAACAGATGTTACATTGTCTGTCTTCCTGCTGACTGCACACTAAGCCTTCACTTTTAAGGAGAATTTGTGTAGCTCTAACCTTCAATAAAAGAACACATCTCTAGACATATTTCAGGAAACACAACATGGGTTTCTGAGTGTCTAGTGCACACTGAGCAACAAATGAATGTGCTTCCATGGGAAGCTGTGAGAGAAACTGATATTCCGATGCACTGTTTCATTTCACAGATACACAATCAGGGGCCGGTGCTGTGGTGCAGTGGGTTAACGCCCTGGCCTGAAGCGCCAGTATCCCATATGAGCGCCGGTTCTAGTCCTGGCTGCTCTACTTCTGATCCTGCTCTCTGCTATGGCCTGGGAGAACCGTAGAAGATGGCCCAAATCCTAGGGCCCCTGCACCCATGTGGGAGACCTGGAAGAAGCTCCTGGCCCCTGATTCGGATCATTGCAGCTCCGGCAGTTGTGGCCAACTGGGGAGTGAACTATCGGATGAAAGACCTCTCTCTCTCTCTCTCTCTCTCTCTCTCTCTGCCTCTCCTCTCTCTGTGTAGCTCTGACTTCCAAATAAATAAATAAAATAAAATAAAATAAAATAAAAATCATTGGTATACCTTGATATTACAGCTATTCTCCCCAAATTTCATTCTACTATGTTAATATTGGGAAGCTGGATGGATAATTTCCTTGCTTTTTGCAGCAGATTGACATTCTTTAACAAGTAGTATTTAGAAAACTTGAAAAAAAATGTGAAAAGAAGCCTTAGATATGTAAAAATAAATCAGCTTTAGGACAAGTTATACTTCTTATGATAGTTATTGTTAAAATTATCAGTTTTAACTAAATCCATTCAAATTTACTTTGTAAATTTCATGAGATGCCTAGTAATTCTGACTTTAATATGCCCAATTTTAATATATCTTTGAAAATAATGTAGATCAAGGATAACAAATACTGAAAACTCTCTAAAATACAGTAACACATAGCTTGAATTTCTTTTAAATAAAACTCTGTTGCTATTTTTGCATGAAGAATATGAATCCAAAGAAAGGTGCAAACTACTTTGACGTATTTTTGTAATAAAAAATTATTGGTTTCTGATTCATTTTCATGAGTAAGTACATTAAGCATAACTGCAGCTAGGTGAATTAAATTGTCAGATCCACACAGTCACTGAGTATCACAAATGTTTTGTGAATTTAAGCCAGAAACGCAGGACTAATCTTTGACATGTATTTCTCACTCTCTACTACTCTCTACACTCCCTAGAGCCAAGATATCATCAAAGGTTTCTCCCAAGCATTGCCAAGCTTCATCCTTCATCTCCCTTACTGTCACTGAAACCCACTGCCAACCACATTCCTGAGGACTCCTACAATAACTTTCCAGTGATCTCCTAAATCTACTCTCCTCTAACCATTTGTTATATTATATCAACAGAGACCTTTTAAAATGTTACCATCCTTGAAATATTTCTAATGAAGAAAACTTTTTGTACTACAAGGACCTGTGAATCTGGCCTCCCCCACATCACCATTCCTAGGTTGCACCTTCTTTCCCCTTCTTTCCTCCTTGCTCCAACCACACTATCTTCCATTTGTCTTCTAGTCACACATCAGGGTTTTTGGACACATGCTTTGCCCTGTTTTTCATGTCTCAGCTGTCACTACCCCTAGAAAGTCCAGTACCATGATTATATATAGCATTCCTGTTTGTATTTACTCTCAAAGCTGTTATATTCTATTTCCTCATTAATCATTAGAATATATATTTCTTTAAGTAGACTGTAAACTCCATGAGGGCAGAGGCTCTATAACTGTAATCATTATATTCATAGTACCTAGTTAATAAATCTACTTAATAAAAACTAATAGCCTGACAAAGTAATTAATTAGCCACACTTAATATTCACCAACTTTTGAATTATGCTGTGTTATTGGCTTCATTAGCCAAAAAATAATAATTAATTAAGGCCACCACTCCCAAAATGAGTAAGAGAGGCCAAAAGCAACTTACCACAGTCAGCCTCATCAGTGCGATCGCCACAATCATCCACCAGATCACATAAGTGACGCTTTTCTATGCACGCCTTGGTGTGCAGACACCAGAAATGATCTGGCTCTTCACAGCTTTCAGCTGGAAGAGGAAGAGTACAATTTTCAAATCTGATGTCATCAATAGCTGAGACCCCATCATAAATACCAAGACTGACTTTTTCTAGTGACAGATGGAAGGGCTGAGTAAGGCGCCCTAGCTGAATGGTTGCTTCTGACCACTGGTTGCCCTGATTATATAATACTCTCCAGACAGGTGTTGAATCATTGGATTTTTCTATATGAAGTTGCAGTTCAGCAGCTCCCACTGAGAGCCCATAGTTATAAAACCTGAAAAAAAAGCAAACACAAGAAATGGAAACGATTCACAAGGAGACTAAATATTTAACCTGCAGACTCTTCTACCTTGTCAATAATCAAGTAACAATTGGTTATCATAAATGGAGGCCTTTCCTTCCTGAAGTAATTGTGGCTGCCCATACTGCAAGAGCTCATCTGCTGAGGTGCACACTCTGTGGCTCCCACAACCCCGAGAGACTCTCTCCAGAAGCTCAGAAAAAAACAGTAGAAGCAGTTTTAATAAAATCATATCCATCAGTGGAGGGACAATTCCTCTTTCTCTTACGAAAGAAAACATAAAATATGCTCCTAAATAAAATGTAAATGGTGTGATTTTAATATTTGGAAAATAAAACAGAGATTAGCCAAAATGGCTAATAAGTTCAGGAATAAGCCTGCAACCACCAGGCATCCAGGGTAACTGACAATTGGTTTTCACATTTACCAGAAGGAAAGTGTACATCCAGGTCCAGTCTGGCTGAAAGTTGGGCTCTGGAGTTTAGCAACTTGTGACAAACTGTTGTTTTTCTTCAGAATGAACATAAAATGCCCTATTGAGATATAAAGCAAGTGATTAGCTAACATACTAGATTCTAAGATAAAGCATCTCATTCTTCAGCCTACGTTAAGTTACTTTCAGATCCAAAAGTAAGACAATGTAACAATAAAAAAAATCAATAAAACTGATTTAGGGGCTGGCACTGTGGCAAAATATACTAGGCCTCTGTCTGGGGCATTGGCAAACCATATGGGCACTGGTTCCCATCCCAGGTGCTTCTCTTCTTATCCAGCTCTCTGCTTATAGCCTGGAAAAGCAGTAGAAGATGGCCCATGTACTTAGGCCCCTTCACCCACGTGGAAGACCCAGGAGAAGCTCCTGGCTCCTGGCTTCAGATCAGCCTAGCCCTGACAGTTGCGGCCATTTGGGGAGTGAGTCAGCAGATGGAAGACCTTTCTCTCTGTCTCTTCTTCTCTCTCTCTCTCTGTAACTACCTCTCAAATAAACTTTAAAAAAAAAAACTGATTGAAAGTAAAATTTATTCTTACATCCACTTCTAAATGATGCCCAGACAATTGATTGCTTCAATTAATTCAGCAAAAAATAAATCTATTCTCCATAAACACCGCCCACAACAGAATCAAATACATGTAGAAGGCATAGCTGAAATTGACATATTCAACTGTCTTAGCCTAACATAGAACCCTAATTGCTTCTCTGTTTCATCTTAGCCCTAACTGAGAAGTAAATAGACGAAGTTAGAACTTCTGCCTGCTCCTTACCGTCAGTTGTGTTGTAAGTGTGATCCCGAGGTGGGGCCTGTTGCTCAAAGGTAGCAGAAAGATCAGTTGGGGAGCTCCAGATCCAGTCAAAGTGGTCACCACCAAGTGCTTCAAACCAGCCGCAACTGTTTGTTTCAAAATCACACCTGGAAACTGAAGAACAAAACTGTGCTTCTTACACTGGCCCTCCACAGTGTTCCCACACTTTGAAACAGTAGAGTTCAAATGGAAATCATCTCATTATGTATTTATCACCTTATAAGTACATTAGGGGACACATTTGAGGAGGGAAAAGTGATCCTTACTGACGGTGGGAAAAAATGAGGTTGTGTGTTTTATACTGAAAACTGCGAAGGCAGAATTCTCAATTTATGAAATTCAATTTTTTTCAAACCAATCATTTTCTGTCTTAGAAATATTGCCATTTGCCCGAATCGTTCATAGAACTGCCAAGGGCTGCCTAATTCTTTCTGACATCCACGTTAGTTTCCCAGCCACTATTATTACATCCTGTGGAAAGCTTAATTGATCCTGCTGAGTATTATACACTAAACCATGAAAACAGCTACTTTTTAAAATTCAACTTCCTCTACATTTTATATAATATTTACCTTTGATTTTCATAGAGCTTCATATTTTACAAAGTATTGTGGGCATCATTTAATTTGTGCAAAAAATAATAATTTGACCCATTTTCAGGTATATATGCAGAGAAATCAGCTAACATCCACATAGACATTCTGGAGGAAGAGGAAAAGAAAAGAAGCAGAAAAAAAGGAATGAAAGGAAAATTATAATAGTAGGCATGCAGTAGGACAGCTAATAGTTATTGAACAACTTATGTAATAGCCTTTTGATGAATGATGAATTCTTTAACATAGATCTTTCTCAACAAGTGTATGGGATAGGTATTATTATTATTGCTTTACAAAGGAAGATTTAGAGAAGTTATTAATTTAAATAAGGTGTGCATTATAGTTGTAATCCAAATATTGTTACTCCTAATCTATTATTCTTCCTTTAACTGCTGATAATAACTGTTAATTAACATTAGACTGGAAACAGGATAAACCTAAAAGAATCATCAGAATTTGCTTAGATACTGTGAATGTTCATCATCATTACAAATATCAGTGCCAAATGAAGTTCATTTCACTAATGTTTATAGTACTAGGGATCCCGGGCCATTGTCTGTTTTTAACCAGTAACTAACCAGCATCTATACTGCATATTCCCTTGTAAAATGAATTACAAAGTAAACAATAAGTCTAGGGGATAAATGTGTTTTAAAGCCACTAATGAGAGTTTAAAATTTTAACTACATTTTAACATAATGATAAACCATTTTTAATTTTTAAAACAGAAATGAATATGACATTTATATTATAAAGTACTTTTTTTTTTTTTGGACAGATAGAGTTACAGACAGTGAGAGAGAGACAGAGAGAAAGGTCTTCCTTCCATTGGTGCACCCCTGAAACGGCCGCTATGGCTGGTGCTGCACCAATCTGAAGCCAGGATCCAGGTCCTTCTTCCTGGTTTCCCATGTGGGTGCAGGGGCCCAAGCACTTGGGCCATCCTCTACTGCCCTCCCGGGCCACAGCAGAGAGCTGAACTGGAAGAGGAGCAACTGAGACTAGAACCTGGCGCACACATGTTGCTGGCACCACAGGCAGAGGATTAACCAAGTAAGCCATGGCACTGGCCCCAATACTTTCTAATTTCATATAGTTCCTATGAAATGTCTAATTTTAAAAATATATTTGCTTTCTATCCAATTTCCTGGCCTGATATTTGGTCAGGAGAATATTCCAAATCTTATCCAATGCTGGTGGGAATTTATGAATATTTTTAAAAATTAAAACATTTAAAATGCTGTATTTCTTTTGATTAGTAAGATACAGAGTAGCATATTTCAATATAAAGAGGTAATAAGAAATTAGCAAAAAAAAAAAAGAATTGCTATATTTAAACCAAAGATTTCTCAACAAAGTTTAGAAATCTGTTGTAAACAAAGTAAAATCAAATGCTAAATAAAAAGTGAAAAATCATAAATATCACAAGTTAGGGATACAACATGAAGAATATGTGTTATATTTTTAAATGCTATCTCGCCGGCGCCGTGGCTCACTAGGCTAATCCTCTGCCTTGCGGCACCGGCACACCAGGTTCTAGTCCCGGTCGGGGTGCCGGATTCTGTGCGGGTTACCCCTCTTCCAGGCCAGCTCTCTGCTGTGGCCAGGGAGTGCAGTGGAGGATGGCCCAAGTGCTTGGATACCTGCACCCACATGGGAGACCAGGAAGAAGCACCTGGCTCCTGGCTTCGGATCAGCGCAGCACTGGCCGTAGCGGCCATTTGAGACTGAACCAGTGGAAGGAAGACCTTTCTCTCTCAGTCTTTTAAAAAACTCACAATAGCCATTGGAGGGTGAACCAACGGCAAAGGAAGACCTTTCTCTCTGTCTCTCTCTCTCACTGTCCACTCTGCCTGTCAAAAAATAAAAATAATAATAAAATAAAAAAAATGCTACCTCTACTTCTAATACATAATATACAAATATGACATAATTATACATATATTATGGAGGCTTCAATGTATTTAAACATCATTTCAATCCCTGAGAAGCAAATGCTTTGGTAAGTATTTAAAACAGTGAGTAGAACAGGACCCAGAAGTTCTTGTTATGGAAATATGAAAAAAAATCGTCAATACAAATTTATTCCATGTAGTTAGCTAGAAAGTACACCTTATTATCTACTATCCATATCTACTATCAAGTGGTAGTAAAATTAAAAACAAAGCATGGGGCTAGCATTGTAGCTTAGCGGGTAAAGCCACCTGCAGTGCCAACATCCCATATGAGTGTCAGTTTGAGTCCCGGCTGCTCCACTTCCAATCCAGCTCTCTGCTATGGCCTGAGAATGCAGTGGAAGATGGTCCAAGTCATCTATGCTTATTGGTAGAAAAGCTAATGATTCTACAGTAGCTTTTATTTATTTTGGGAAAAATAAAATAGAATAAAAATAGAATAGAATAAAATAGAATAGAATAAAAATAAAATAGAATGATCTCTATTATAATATTACATGAATATAGTAGTTGTCTCTGAGGAAAAGGCTTTAGAGGATATTTGGTGGACTGAATAATAAGTCCTTCATTGTCATTTTTAGGGCCTTTTGCTGAGGAAAAAGATGGTTTTGTGCAGGAGCCATGGAGCCTTGTGAGAGAAAAAGAGTATAGAATCAGATTCCATCTCATAGTAGATTCACTGTCATAGAACTTCTCCATTGACATTCTCTCACCCCACTGAGGTTTATTTGTAAGGAATAAACACAAATTATACAAAAAAGAAGTCTGAGCTAATACTTTGGGCCTCACTCAGACTTAGAAATTCTTAAGAAAAAAGTTTCCTGCACATTATGGGGTTCAATCTAAATGCTATCAGGTCTTAGTCACATATGCAAGATATCCATTTTTTTTTTTTTAAAAAAAGGGACTGTGTATGTGAGTGGTAATTTTAACAAGTTAAAACCTACAGTCCCACTGAGGGTTACCAATATAGCTTGCAAAAATATAGAAACTGGCAAGGACATAATTGCAGTGTGGTAAACATCTATTGAAGTGTATTTCAACTTACTAAATCCTCATGAAGAGCTTTTTAAATTTGAATGAGGAAATACACACAATTTTTCTGTGCTCATTACTATCAACACAATTCCAAATCAGACCTGATATCAAAGTCTATGTTACTAAAGATTAATACTGTTTATATTAGGTAAATAAGCAGTAGTAATTATAGCATCTTAAAAATAATCACTATATAGAAAGCATTGTGTTATATGTTTTCAATGAGAGATCATACAAAACTAATTATATGTTATCAACTTCCAGCAAAATGACTGGCTACAGATACTAGATGAAGGTCACTCTAACAAAAAAGGACAGAAGCAAAGAGTATACAACTACTATTTGACTACAATATTTGGGAGAGAGCACTGAAGTGCAGCTCAGATGAAATGGACAAACTTTGGAACACAGGCACTCAGGATATCTTATAAAGAAGATAACAAAGTACATGGCATCAGCCACTCTATTTCTCCAGTTCAGACCAGTTTGGACCTAGTGTAATCCTCCCATAATGGATAAATGGTGAACGGGAGGCTCCCTGTGGCCTCTATCAGCACCACGCACATTTGACATTTTTGCTGCTGGGGAATCCTGTAGCCCTTGTGGGCCCCAAGAGACCAGGGAGTATGCACAGTCCATATTGTACCCGCTACTCCCTAGGCTATTGCTGTATGGTGCCTTCCAAGACCATATCCATCCCCACTCTGCTCCCATTGCTGTGATGCCTGGGTGTAGTGGAGGGCTGCCCACATTGACTGAAGAGTGCTTTGGTCATGCTGCCATATGCACCCTTCCCAAAGCCAGGAAGTATAGCTTCAGAAGTTCTACAAAGATTACACTGTGACCAAAGCCAACACAGCCAACCGATTCTAAAACCTAAGACACACTTCTAGGAGAAAGTATTTTAGTGCAAAAGCCCCTCTACAAAATTTGTAGTCAGCAAATCCACCACATGTGCAAATATCAATGTTGAGAATGAAGAAGTGTGAAAATCAGGTCCTGTAATGTCTAAAAAAAAATCCACAATAAATCTCAACTAATACACTCAAAAGAAGACTAACAAAAAGCCTGGAAAGGAATTAAAAACAGTGCATCTACAGATATTTAGTAAGATACAAAAGGATAAAGATAAACCATTAAAATCAGGAAAGCAATTTATTATCTGAATGAGAAATTCAGTAAAGAGACATCATTTAAAGAAGAAACTAGAAATCATAGACCTAGGAACTCAGTAAGTCAAAAAAAATTACAGTGGAGATCCTAAACAACACAGTAAATCAAGGAAAACATTTCTGAACCTGAAGGGTCTTTTGAAATAACAGTCAATTGGAAAAGAAAGATAAAATTATGAATAATGAAGAAATACCAGTGACATGCATAGCAGGTAAAGCTACTGCCTGCAACCCTGGCATCTCATACAGATGCTGAGTCGCGTCCCAGCTGCTCTACTTCTGCCGTGACTCTTCCTCATCACCGCTGAGAATTAGTCAGGCTGTCCGCAGCTTGCCTTGGCCCAGGAGGGGAAGTGCGCCACCCACCACTCAGCCTTCCCCGAACTACCCCCCACCCCGCCCCGGGGGACAATCAGATGTGGTGGGGAGCCCAGTCAAAACAGGATCTCACTTTATTGTAAAAGGGAGGTGTGTATATAGCTGTGGTACAGAGCAAGTGGATGCGGGCAAGGGGTGGGGTGATATGATGTGAAAGGGTCTTAGCCACTCCTATTATACCACCTTAATGATCATTAGGCAAAAGGGCCCTGGGGCTGGGTCTTTTACTGCCAGGAATTTGAAACTTAAAGACAGGTTTTCAAATTCGAGGCAGGCTCAGGAAGTTTCCTCTAGGCCTCTCTGGATTCAGCCTCCCCCACACTACTTCCAGTCTAGCTCCCTGATAATGGCCTGGGAAAAGCAGTGGAAGATGGCCAAAGTGTTTGGGCCCCTACAACTGACATGGGAAACGCGGAAGAAGCTCCTGGCTCCTGGCGTCAGCCTGGCCCAACCCTGGCTATTGTAGCCATCTGAGAAGGAAACCAGTGGATGGAACATCTCTTTCTATATCGCTCTCCATTCTCTCTGTAACTATGACTTTCAAATAAATAAATAAATCTTTAAAAAATGAAGAAAGTTTCTGAGATTTAAGAGATACCTTGAAGTGAACAAATATTTCAATTATGAGTGTCTCACAAAGAAAAGAGAAGGGAAAAGGCATAAAAATCATATTTGATGCAACAGCAGCTGAAAATTTGTCAAATCTTGGGAACCATGTGAGCCAAGAGGATCAAAAGACCTTAAATAGATTTACACAAGAAAGGTTCTCTCTGGATCTTATTAGAGTCAAACTGTCAAAACTCCAAAGCAAAGAAAGAATTCTAAAAGGAGAGAGAGGGAAAAAAAACAGCAAATCCAGCAAATCACATTTAAGAGAACCACCATTAACCTAACAGCAGATTTTTCAGCAGACTTTAAAGACCAGAAGAGAATGCAATTTAATATTGAATATTCAGAAGGAAAACAAGCAAACAACAACAACAAAAGGCAATCCAGGATATTATGTTAAGCAAAGCTATCCTTCAGGCACAAAGGAGAAGTCTTTCCAAAATAAGCAAAAACTGGGAACTCATCTCTACCAGAATGGCCTTACAAGAAACTTAAAAAGGAAACCTACTTCTACAAGCAAAAGCTACCATCATGACAATGCACAAAAGTACAAGCCCATCAGGAGGGTAGACACATTAAGGATAAAAAGAATCAAACTTTGTCAAAATAGAAAACCAGCAAACCACAAAGATAAAAACAGAGAAGGAAAAAAATTATCAAAATAATAGGAATAAATCATTCCATATAAATTAATCACAAATACAAATGCATTAACTTCTTAAACTAAAATATTTAGACTAGATGAATGGATAATAAAAGAAGATCCAAAGATATGCTGCCTTTAATAAATTCATTTCACTGGTGAAGACATTCGCGGACTGAAAGTTAACGGATAAAAAAATTCCATGCAATGGAAAAACAAAGAAGGCATAAAAAGCCACACTTATATCAGATAACACACTTTCATTCAAAAACTATACAAATAAAGGTCACTATATATTAAGAGATCATTTTGACAAGAGAAAATAACATTTGTGAATATATATGCATCCACCCCTGGAGCACCCAATGTATAAAGTAAATATTAGATCTTCAAGGAAAGATAGACTCCAATACATTAAAAATTGATATTTATCTTGTTTTAATATTTCCCCTGATCAACAAAATATCTCATTAGAATAAAATATGCAGCAGAATAAATGTCAAATTTAAATATATTTCTAAACATCCACTTGTTTGTTAGGTAGAAAATTCATTTAAATGGAATTCATGGTTTCTAAACAGGCACAAGTACCTTAGTTGCTAAGTTTCCTCATGTGAGAACCATCATGTAGGCTGTCAAATTATTTCTTTGACATAGGACTAGGCTTGAATTGCAATAGGGTCTGTTGTCATCAAGCCTATCAAAGACCCTTCAGCAAAGGCCTAAAGGTAAGGCATTGAACCTTTTTTCCCTCATGAATGCTAAGGGTGGCTGAAATGAATTCCACAGCCCTGGAGGCAAAGGAAGTTCTTCCCCTTCTTACTGGCTCCCCACGGCTCCCAACATAACCATTTTAACAGGGGAAAAAACATACATTTAATACAGGTTAACATCCCATAGATCTGCCTTTAAGAGGAGGTCCAAAGACCACCCACTTTTCTCTAAAACAAAAGCACACACAAATACACACAAGCACACACAGATAAATACAACACTGACTGCAGTTATTCATGTGTTAAACAAATAGAGAAATTTTGCCATCTTAGCAACAAGTACTAAAACATTAAATTGGCATAGAGGGCCCAGTGCTGTGGTGCAGTGGGTTAACGCCATGGCCTGAAGCACCGGCATCCCATATGAACACAGGTTCGAGACCTGGCTGCTCCACTTCTGATCTAGCTCTCTGCTATGGCCTGGGAAAGCAGTGGAAGATGGCCCAAATCCTTAGGCCCCTGCACCCACATGGGAGACCCGGAAGAAGCTCCTGGCTCCTGGCTTTGGATCGACATAGCTCCAGCCATTGCAGCCAACTGGGGAGTGAACTATCGGATGGAAGACCTCTGTCTCTCTCTGCCTCTCCTCTCTCTGTGTAGCTCTGACTTTCAAATAAATAAATAAATCTTTTAAAAAAAAAATTGACAGAGTCCCTGGAAGGAACAGTGCTAATAGCTTCAGACTAAAATCGTACATTTGCCTTATTTGCTAGATATTAACTTTAGCCTAAGAAAAGCAAAGACTATCTGAAATACAATTAATAGCTATGAAATAGAGAAGGTCAACAAGTAAACCATTGATTGACTTACAGCAAGTTGCTAGATCTTCACTTGCGTCAGCGCAGTTCTGTTGAGAGTCACACACTGAATCCTGGGCAATGCACTGTCCACTGGCACAAGCGAATTCATCAGAAGAGCAAAGCTTTCGGGTGGGGGCCTGTCCACAGGCATAGACCCAGAGTTGATCAAGCCCAATAAAACTTTTCTGGCTCAAAATAATTCCTTCAAAAATAATCTTCAGGAAAACAAAAAAAAAATCAAATTTGAGTGAGTTTTTCATCTCTTTAAGAAGAGAAAAAAACTAAAAAAGGATATTAGAGAATAAATAGTTATTAAGAAAAACATCTGTTTGTTGAAAAAGCAACCAAGTACAAATGATAGCGAAGTCCCTATCTGGTAAGCCTGACCCACATTTGTAAGATGTATGGACACATTGGCTCCACCAAGGCCTCTGAAAATCCACTCAGGATCAGACAATAGACACCTATATCACCCCACTTAACACCCAAATATTTTTGATGACACACTTGTTACTTGCTCAACATATTTACAGCTGTCCTTCTTTTATTTTAAAGGAAAATATTGTCATTACTTATCCAAAAGCTCTAACTGGGTCTTGTTTTTTTAACAGCTCGAATTTGTATTTGAGTGCCTGAAGGGATGTAATAGGCAAATAGAAAGGACATGATATAAGAATAAACAAAGTGCTAAATACTAAAATTGGAAGAATAAACAAAAATTAAAAGACTACACATAAAAAATATTAAACTTGTGTTAAAAAAAAAAAAACAATCGCTCTGACAAGAAAAGAAGTGCCAAAGAAAATAAATATATTTTTCTCCAAATGAATTGCTAAATTTTCTGGAGGTTCACAAGATTAGCAAGGGAAACAATCACACATTTCTCTACAAATGTAAGATTATGTCAAAGTATTGGAATTTTTTGAGGAGCTATGAAGAGCAAAGGATAGTTAACACCAAGAGTGCAGGTATATAAATAGCTGAGTGGAAAGCAAATAATTTATTCTCTACCATCCAACATGGTAGCCAGCAGCTACACAAGACTACTTTAATATAAATTAATTAAAATTAAATTAAAATCCAGTACTTTAGTTATACTTGCCTTATTTCAAGTGTTCAATATCCCGATGTGGCCAGTGGCTACCATTGTAGCTTCCTGAAAGCCAGTGTCCCATTTGGGCACTCCGCTTGGTTTCTATTCAGACCATTCACTTTTCTATCACTTGCCAATCAAATAAAAGTTTCTGCTTCTTTGCAAATTGCTTCCCTGGCTTTTTATTTCTATACTGAGCTGAGGCAAAGAACCCACAAAACTCACTGGTTACAGATGGGAGAGTGGTTGCAGGAGTGAGTTTTCTTGTTGATATCAACCCCTGTTGATACTCAGATGATACTCTGAGTTTTCATTATAGGTAAAACCAAGTTAGTTGTCCTGAATCTCTTTATATGAAATATATGAAACTTGTATATCTTAAATAAAATTAAACAAAACAAATAGAACAGCACCAAGTTAGTTGTTCTAGCACTCCCACCCTTCCTCTTCTTTTCTTATTTTTCTGTTAATTTTTACAATGACATACTTTCAAGTTACTTTATAATCACAAGCTTAAACATCCACTAAATAAATAATTCAACAAATAGTAAGTAGAAAACCACTTTTCCTCAAGAGTATAGGCAAAGGTTATCAACAATAATCAAAACTCAAAATGTCAATTTTGCTCATATACGTTTTTGTATTCTATATATTAGTGACTACAAATCAGGGAAAACATATTTATCTGTTTGGGTCTGGCTTATTTCACTAAACAAAATTGTCTCCAACTGCATCCATTTTGTTGCAAAATATAGGATTTTATTCTTTTTTTATGGCTATGTAGTATTCTATTGTGTGTATATACCACAATTTCTTTATCCAGTCATCAGTTGATGGACATCTGGGTTGATTCTATGTCTTAACTATTGTGAGGGTGTTTTTTTTTTATTTTTATTTTTTGACAGAGTGGACAGTGAGAGAGAGAGACAGAGAGAAAGGTCTTCCTTTTTCTGTTGGTTCACCCCCTAATGGCTATTGTGAGTTTTTTAAAAGACTGAGAGAGAAAGGTCTTCCTTCCACTGGTTCAGTCTCAAATGGCCGCTACGGCCAGTGCTGCGCTGATCCGAAGCCAGGAGCCAGGTGCTTCTTCCTGGTCTCCCATGTGGGTGCAGGTATCCAAGCACTTGGGCCATCCTCCACTTCTCCTGGGCCACAGCAGAGAGTTGGACTGGAAGAGGAGCAACCAGGACTGGAACCCGATGCACACATGGGATGCCGGCACCACAGGCAAAGGGTTAACCAAATGAGCCACAGCGCCAGCCCCTCAAATATATCTTAAGTTATCTGCATGTTACAAAAGTATAAATCACTGCACTCAAAACATTTGCAAATAACCAAGTGATTTTAAATACCAATATTATCTGCTTCGTAATACATTGTGCTTCCTATGTGCAATGCATGATGCTAGAGGATGCTAGGGACAGAGGTCATGGAGAAGAGGTAAGCGCTATCAGTGACACACAATGGTTTCTCCACTCAGGGCAAATTGGGCCTGAGATGGGCCAAGTAAAAAGAAGACGTAGACAATTGCTCTCCTCAAATTTATATACTCTACACTAATAAAATATGCTAATCTAAATTTAGCAGTGGAAGATAAATTCACTATTGAAAGATAAAATAAACTTATGATTTAAAAAAATGTTTTTTACCTGAAATATCTTCAGACCATCTGGTATTAATACATCTACTTTCACCCATTTGCTGTGAGTTGATGTGTTGTATGTCCAAAATATTTCTTCTTCCTTTGATGAAAAGAAAGATATGACTCATTCCCCAAATTCTAATCTCCCATTTAATTACATTGCTCTATTAATTCCATTTTAGTAGGATTATCTAGATGTATGATCATCAGTACCAGGAAATCTGAAGTATTGGCTGTGAGAATGAAGATCCAAATAATACTTTTAAAAAGGAAAAAATAAGAAAACAAACTATGTCTATTTAGTAAAGCTGTTTTTTCTTAATTCATAAATTAAGATACAGCAAAAATTTGAATAGACTGTTAAATAAAGTACTATGCCACAAAAATAAAACTCTAAATAAAAATTGATAATACCAGTTATTTAATGTTGATGCCAATATCATTTTTTATATTTTACAAAATGGATGATGCTTTATAAAGAAGAGAAATAAGAGACAAATGTTAAATACAAGGGTAAAAATTGTATCAGATGCATTTTCTGTGCAATGTCAATTTCTATTAAATATTTTTCCCACAGAAAAATTCAAAGGAAACAATTATTTTCTGGTAATATATTCCTACAGTTGAACTCTGCTAGTCACTCTATCAAAAGCCATTTTTATAAGTTCTAGAGCATGCTACATATGTTCCTGTATAATGATAATTTTTCCACATACAAAATGCATACAAAACTGTTACAGCACACTAAAACACTCAATTAACATCCATAATATATTCCAGAAATGTGTCTGTATTATTGTTGTTTATGGTTTTTGACCATGCTTTTCTGCTCTGAAATAATCCTACTGTTTCTTTAATTTCATCAAACATTCAACTTAAATTGATATTTCCATGGAAAAGCTAGACCCATGGTTCATACTATTTACCTATAGGATACAGTGACTTTTCGTGTAGCCATATATTAAACATGTAGAGAATGTTTATGCACGCTGAGAATGCATAAATGTTTCAGGCTGACCTCGGAAACTGGCTCTATGTCTGCTTTCTAGTCTGAGATACAAGCAGCTTTGGAAGGTGACATGCAGCTGTAATTCAAAAAACACATGACACAAATTTTCACTCTTCTAAGTATTTATCTCCTCCCTCAGCTCTGCTTATTTCATTGGTTTACAAGTTTTTCTAAAAATGAATCAATTTTCAATTTAGTCTTATATGCCTCTGCTGCCTGATTCCTACTCCTAATTTCTAAGTCCTAAATATTTCAGAAGTTTAAATCGATTAGTGTTCTTCATCATCATTACAATGTCCATTAGATGAACATATATGCAGCTGAAGTTTCCATGTCACATCAAGAATGAATTAGTTATGAAAAAGTGAGAAATGAACTAAATTTTCTTACAATTGTATCCTGCACAACTCCAGTTACTAAGCATCAAGACATTCTTGTTTTGCACATACTTTTACTGACACAACTTGGCAAACTGCATTCATCACCTCCCCCCTACGCATTTCATGAAAATTGAGAACTTGCGCTTCTGTCATAGTTAACTACTTGATTTTCCTCTGTTCTATCTGAAAAGGAATGCATTTAAATTTTCCTGAAAAGTGAACAGAGATCTTCCCAAAGTAAAATGTCTTTCCATTCATTAATATAATGGTGTCCTGTTTATAAAATACACATTTTTCTATCAAATTTTCCTGTCTGATGACACAAGCAATTATAAAGGAACTATATGAAATCAACTTGCATTTTATTCCTGTTCATATGCTTATATTCTTATTTAACAGATGTTAATGTAAAAAGTAAACCCTTGTCCAGAAAAATATTTCAATTGATATTCTAGTTTTCTATCATCTTAAAAATCATTGAATAAAAATGTAAAAACGTTTTTGCTCCCCAGATTAGAATCAATAATGCAGACTTAGGGTCAGAGTTATGTAACAGTAGATTAAGCCACCACCTGTGATGTCAGCATTGCATATGAGTACTCGTTCATAACCTGGCTGTTCTGCTTCTAATCCAGCTGCATTCTGGGAAAACAAGACAGTCCAAGTGCTTGGACCCTGCCACCAACATGGGAGACCCAGATGGAGTTCCAGGCTCTTGGTTTCCATGCACTTTCTACATCTCAAGTTCTAATGTCTTCTGGAAATAACAAAACACCTTTACCATTCTTTCTGGATTTTTCTTGGTTTACCTCTTCAAATTTATAAGGATTTATATGAAGGTACTTCAACAGGTCTGTAGAAAATGGAATTCGCTGATACATTTATTTGGTGGCAAGAAAATTTTAGAATCCAAGCATACAAGGGCTCTTCAAAAAGTTTACAAAATATGCAATTATGAAAAAACTATCCATCTATTACAATAGTTTCTGCACCAAAATAAACATTTTAATTCCATTTTCCACAAACCTTTCCAACTGCCCTGTGGATATGAATAAGAACAGCACTCTATTCATGGAAGATGCAAATGAGCATCTTCATCAAGGGCTAATTTTTTAAAATTTTGGAGTATGCTTTAACTTTGTGGCAAAATATCAATCTGCAGCTTAAATATATTTTGATGAAAAATTTTCATCAGTGTGTTTTATGTACAGTGGATAGAAAACAGAATGTCAGAAAAGACAACATTGTTTGCCTAACACAAGCTAATATATAAAACACCAGCCAACATTCTCAAAATTGTACATCCATTTTGGTTTGGGTTAATACACTGCAACAGTTCTCCAGCATTATCTTCTTTTCTTAGAAACACCTAATAAATATGTTATTAGTCTATGGTGTGGTATCTAAGACTATTTGTTTTCTCTATTTTCTTATACCACCCCCAAAGTCACCAGAAGAGTACTACTACTCATTTTCATTACATCATAATGGTATTCCACATACATTAAAAATTCTAAAATTCATCAGTTATTTTCATGGCAGACTAGAATAATCTTTTGGATTATAACATATGCATGAGTATTTCACAAAGCTCTTGGAAATTATAATTAAAAGGTAAACTTTATTCTGACTTTTGACTTCCATGCATTGTTTTTTATAACATAAATTTTCATAAATTTTTAAAGGAAATTTTAAAGATTTATTGTTTATTTCTTTGAAAGGCAGAGTTATAGTCTACGGCCATACCACCCTGAACGCGCCCGATCTCGTCTGAAAGGCAGAGTTATAGAGAGAGAAGGAGAGGCAGAGAGAGAGAGAGAGAGGGAGAAAGAGAGAGAGATCTTCCATCTGCTGGTTCAATCCCCAAATGGCTTCAAAGCTGGGGCTGGGACAGGCCAAAAGTAGGAGCCTGGAGTTTCTTCCAGGTCTCTCATATGGATGCAGGGGCCTAAGCACTTCTGCCATCTTCCACTGCCTTCCCAGGCAAATTAGCAGGGAGCTGGATCAAAAGTGGAGCACCCAGGTCTTGAACTTGCTGCCATATGGGATGCCAGAATTGCAGGTGGAGTCTTAACCTGCCACACTATAACACTGGCCCCTTTCATGAACTTTTTGAATAACTTTTATATGCATGGATTTCCAGAAAGTTTTGCATCAAAATGAATTTATATTTGACCTTTTATTTTTCATGAACTTTCTAAAGTATCCTTGTATCAGTGATTTTCCACTGAAATTTATCTTAAACACTCATTAAACACCAATATGGACACTCATTAATTACTTGCCTCATAAAGCACAGTCTTGTAGGACCATATTCTAAGGCATATTTAGCTAAATTATTTCAGAGCCTTTTTCACTATGTGTTAGCTGAAAGAGGAAACTGAAAATTATAGATCATTTCCTCATATGAAGTTGCATGCTTGGTTTATTTGGCAAAAGTGATAATAACTGGAAAATTATAGAGGCATGAATAGTAAAATGCATCTGTATAAAGTTTAACTTTTTATAAGGGGTCAAGACTTGCTCCATGAATGTGGAAAGTTTGTAGTGCTACAGGAAAGGTAGGAAGGAGCTTTCTGCAATCCCAGGCCTGAGCCCTTACCATGCTGCACGAAAGGTACCAACATATGTAAGGCAATGGATTCCCAAGTAATATTTCAAAGATGTCACAAAAATTTAACACAGCTACAGAATGCTAGATATAGGACCTCTTCAAGTAACAAAGGACACTGTATTAAGTTCTCCAATGAGAGTAATTATCCAACTTTTTGCTTCAGATCTCATAAATGTCCCAGGAAAAAAGGAGTGGAAGAAAGACTAGATATGATGAAAATAGTGCAATAAAGATAGAACGAGAAATGATGTGATAGAACCAGGAAGAAAAACATTTCCTCTTGAATTTCCAAGTATCTTGGTAATGAGCATTCTGATTTCTGAGGATAAATTATGATAGCACTTCAAACTTCAGAAGAATACAAACCAGGACAGAATGTTATTGACAGATGCTTATTGGCACCCAATAAGTGCAGATGATATAAAAAAAAAAAACTTTTGTTGAAAATGAATCTGGCTGTTGTGATGTAGAAGTTTCAACTTGATTTAGTCAAACCATTCTGAGCCCAAAAAACTGACCTGTATACTTTTACTGCCACCTTCTGCTCCCATGTCAGAATCCCTGTACTTATTGCCAAACGAGACTGCTCTTTACTCCTATGACATCTTTATTTCCATCTATAAATAAAATCTTCTTCACAGTAGAAATTCCCAGTGTCTCTGGTATTTTCCCATTTGTAGACAGTTTTTTCAGCTGCTAGATTAAAAATACCTAAGGTGGTTTTAGCACTAGCACAACCATCACAACATTCACTCTACCTGCTGTGTCATTTTATAAGCAAATGCTCAGTTTGCTTTTAATCAGTAATTACCAGTCTTTAAAAACTGTCACATGGTGTACCTGAATGAGTATTTTCCATCATATTTGCAGTTTTAATGGTATATATAGGTTTAAAATTCAAAATAGATCATATAAGAGTTTCAATACAGAGCTAAAATTATAGAATGCTAGACATGTCATTTTATTAGACTTCCAGTTTCTTTAATGTAGTTCCATCAATAGGAAATATATATAATTATATATAATATATAATACTGTGAAAATCACCCTACTGATTTTTGTAAATGTTAGTGTGTCCTAAACTGTTTTCTTAATAGTTCTTTTCAAAAGTATACTGATGGAGTCAGTGTTGCAGAGTAGCTGGCTTAGCTACTGCCTGCAATGCCAGCATCTCACATGGGTGCCAGTTCAAGTCCTGGCTGCTCCACTTCCAATCCAGCTCCGTGCTAACATGCCTGGGAAAGACTCGGAGGATGGCCCAAGTGCTAGGCCCCTGCACCCATGTGGGAGACCTGAAAAAGCTCCTAGCTCCTGTCTTCAGCCTTGCCCCACTCCCTGCCACTGCCACCATTTGGGGAGTGAATTAGAAAATAGAAAATCTCTCTCTCCCTGTCTCTACCTCTTTCTATATATAACTCTGCCTTTAAAATAAATAAACAAATCTTTAAATATAAATAAAATATAATCAATAAAATCAAGTTAAGGACACATAAAGCACACACACAACTGAGAAATACCTATAGAAATGTCAAGTTGTCAGGAATACAAATTTCGCTTTTTTTTGACAGGCAGAGTTAGTGAGAGAGAGAGAGAGAGAGAGAGAGACAGAGAGAAAAGTCTTCCTTCCATTGGTTCACCCCCCAAATGGCTACCACAGCTGGCGCACTGTGCCAATCCGAATACAGGAGCCAGGTGCTTCCTCCTGGTCTCCCAGGCAGGTGCAGGGCCCAAGCACTTGGGCTATCCTCCACTGCCCTCCAGGGCCACAGCAGAGAGCTAGACTGGAAGAGGAGCAACTGGGACAGAATCTGGTGCCCCAACTGGGACTAGAACCCGAGGTGCCAGCGCCGCAGGCGGAGGATTAGCCAAGTGAGCCACAGTGCCAGCCTAGGAATACAAATTTCATTTTTCAATGAATCTGAGACTATTGCAAATTTGTTCTTACCTTATTATTGTACAGTCTAACTCTCAAGATGCTATTTTCCATGGCGTAATAGAATTGAAGGTGGCAGCTCTTGCCCAAGCAATGACACACAGAGCTGTTTAAATAAGCCTTGCTGTTTAATTGGCTAAGAGTAAAAGCATGCTTAGCCCCAACATACACATAATATCCTAAAAAAGAAAAGAAAAGCAACTCAGGAAAACAATTGTCATTTTCTTTCTGAACAAAATTCTATTTCTGAAAATTTCAAAACCTAGCATGAAATATAAATATTTTATTTAAAAACATATGAAGTTCTAAAATGATTATGTCAAGTATAAATACTAGGTTTTCATTTTCATGTGTGAATCAGAAGTCAATCTTTCTCTTTTTTTGCTTTTTCAAAATTTTATTTAAGTTATACTATTTTCATGTATTTCATATATATCAATTTAGGAACATAGTGATACTTCTCTCTCTAAACTCCCTCCCACCCATGATACAACCCTTCTTCTTCCACTCTCCCATTCCCACTCTAAATTTTTACAAAGATCTATTATCAGTATTTTTAATAGTCATAAAGTTAACCCTAAGTAAGAAAAAGAGTCCAACAAATAGTATGAAGAAGAAAACACTGTTCCTCAACAGAAGAGGCAAGGGCTGAAAACAACAAATTTCAAAATGTCCTATCCATTCCAATACATCACATTTTAGGTACTCTATTAGTTATCTTAGATCTGGGAAAACATGTGATATCTGTCTTTTGGGGACTGGCTTATTTCACCAAAACATAATGATTTCCAGTTGTGTCCATTTTGTTGCAAAAGACAGGATTTAATTTTTTACAGCTGAATAGTACTCCATAGTGTATATATACCATAATTTCTTTATCCAGTCAACAGTTGATGAACATTTGGGTTGATTCCATATTTTAGCTATTGTGAATTGTGCTGCAATGAACATGGCAGTACAAATATAACTCTTTCAGATGCTGATTTCTTCTGGTTTGAGTAAATTCCCAGAAGTGGGATGGCTGGATCATATGGTAAGTCTATATTAGATTTCTGAGGTATCCCCATATTGTCTTCAACAGTGGCTGTACCAGTTTACATTCCCAGCAACAGTGGATTAGGGTACCCTTTTCCCCAAATCCTCGTCAGCATTTGTTTTTTGTTGTTGTTGTTGATTTCTGCATGAGAGCCATTCAAACTGGAGTAAAGTGAAATTTCATTGGGTTCAATTTGCATTTCCCTGAAGGCTGGTGATCCTGAGCATTTTTGCAAGTATCTGTTGGCCATTTGAATTTTCTCTCTTGAAAAAATTCAAGACCATTGCCCATTTCTTAAATGGATTGCTTGTTTTGTTGTTGTAGAATTTCTTGAGCTCTTTAGAGATTCTAGATGCTAACTGTTTATGGGTTGCGTAGTTTGAAAATATTTTCTCCCATTCTGTCAGTTGCCTCTGCACTTTCATGAGTGTTTCTTTTGCAGTGCAGAAGCTTCTCACCTTGATATAATCCCATTTGTCGATTTTGGCTTTGATTGTGCATCTGGGGTCTTTTCCATGAAGTCTTTACATATGTCAATGTTGCAGGGTTTCCCCAATGTTATCTAGCAGTTTAATGGTATTGGTTTGTAGATTTAGTTCTTTGATCTATTTTGAGTGGATTTTTGTGTAAGGTGTAAGGTAGGGTTCTATTCATACTTTGGCATGTGGAGATCCAGTTTCCCCAGCATCATTTGTTGAAGAGACTGTCCTTTCTCCAGGTATTGATATTAGGTCCTTTGTCAAAGATAAGTTAGTTGTAGATGTGTGAGTTGATTTCTGTCCTCTTCCAGTCCAGCTCTCTGCTGTGGCCTGGGAGGGCAATGGAGGATGGCCCAGGCACTTGGGCCCTTGCACCTGCATGGGAGACGGGGTGGGGCTTTGGATCAGCGCAGCACTGGCCGTGGCAGCCATTTGCGGGGTGAACCAACGGAAGGAAGACCTTTCTCTCTGTCTCTTTCTCTCTCACTGAATATAACTCTGCCTGTCAAATAAATTATAAAAAAATGCTTCCTGTTTCTCCCTAGTGAAATACTTCATTTCTGTGTAAGTTAATAAATATTATTGCAAACTCTAGAACCATAAATGTAATTGAAACTTATTTCCAGGAAAAATTGGGTTTTAATCAACATAGCACTGGAAGTTTACACTTTCCCTCTGATCTGCATATAAAGAAATGATAACTGAAATAAAAACATTTTTTAGAAAGCAGACAGAGAAAGGACAAAGACAAGATAAAACACCTCAGAGTATGTTTTATCAGAAACAGGTTATGGTAGTTTGGATTCTGACTCTGACCAATTTACATGTTTGACAAAAGAGGAAAACAGTTAAACTCTCCCAGTGAAGGTAAAAACTTTGGATAGGGAACTATGCTTATAAAATTAGGACAGAAAGTACAGCAACATCCACTGTTTTGGGCTATGGCAAAATGATAAGATTTCACCATGAAATATGAAACCCTGAACTATACTGTTACACAGATAAGGTTTAGGGGAGTTAAGTAATGCCACACAAAATCATTTAACAAGGCGGGGTAAGAACAGAAAATGAGAGCAGGAAAGAGTGGAGGGAGGTGGGAAGAGAACAAATCTCACTGAAAAAGAGTCTCTGAAGTTCCTAGTTTTTTGCACCATCATAAAGGGAGCTCAGAAGTTGTCAATCTTATCCTTTCAATAAGTAAAAAAGCTGAACAAACTGAAAATTAACAACTTTTCACAGACCGTGGGAGAACTGAGGTCACAGTTCAAAAGCACTACCCCAGGATTAGGGAGTCTGGAAGACACAGAAAACCACAATTCACCAGAGCAAAAAGTCCAGAGCACAGATCTCTGTGGAAGCGATTCCTGAGCAGGAAAATCTAAAATGAATCTGGTATGAGTAAGTCTGACAGTAAAAAAAAATCAGAATATTTCAACGTGTAGCTAAGAGAGAGGAAATCAGCCATTCTGCCTGGACTATTCTGACATTATAAATAAGCTCTGAACTCAAAATAAACTAGGTCTCCACTACCTAAATGACCAGAGTTTTACTATAGTCTAACTGTCTGGGGGAAAAGGAACTACTCAACTTCAATCAGCTCTAGCCTTCTACATGGCAGTAGCAGAGAGGCAGAGGAACAGCCAGAATTCAACTCTTTGTAGTCTTCCTGTCCTGACTGAGGTCTGACAGAGGAGAGTGGTAGCAAGAAGCACTTTTGAAGGTCACAGAATAGGTGCAGGGTCACCCATAAACTGAGACCTAATTAGAGGATAATACAGTGTCTCCCCTCCCTTCAAAATATGTTACCACATCAACAGGACTTCTGTATAATAAGCAAAATAGTACAAAAAGAGTTACCAATCTCAGACCCTACTGAAGAAGAGGTCTCTAAGAGACAAGGACTCCACACTGAACAAAATGTTAGCCTCAGACACTTACAGCCACAGCAAACAGTGAACACAGTAAACCACTGATGGATAAACATAAGTGCTCACACTATTTACATGAATTCCTGTTACATGGTGCATCATGTCTGGCTTTCAACAAAAAAAATATAGAACATACTGAAAGGAAAACAACACAGTTTAAAAAGAAAAAGCATCAGAACCAAGGCCAAATTTAAAACAACTATGATTAATATGTTAAGGACTTGAATGGAAAATGTAAACAACTGAAAAAAATAAAAATGATGTAGGCAATGAGACAGAAGTCCTGAGAAGGAATCAAAAAACTTAATATAACTATTACAACCATTTTAACAGAAAGGATGTCTTTGATGGGCTCATTAGTAGACTGAAGGGTTTCTTAGGATGTGAGGGAATGTTTAATAGAACTTCCAAAATCAAAAAAAAAAGAAAAATAAAAAACAAACAATGGGATTAAATGGAACAGAATAGTCAACCACTGTGGGGAAACTGCAACAGGTGCTCTATCCATGTAATGAAAGTTAAAGGGAAAGGAAAAGGAAAAGAAAGCAGCAGAAGCAATATTTGAAACAATGTTCCCAAATAATGGTAGACATAAAATCACAGATCCAGGAAGTCCAGAAAATATCAAGTAGGATAAATTCCAAAAGCAAACAGGAAATAGACAAGAAATAACAAAAAAGCATATTATATTCAGACCGCAAAAAATCAAAGAAAAAGCAAACATCTTAAAAAGTCCAATGGGGAAAAAAATGCCCTTACCTATGAAAGAGCAAAGATAAAAACAGCATTTATCTTCTTGGAAAACATTCAAGCAAAAGTGGAACGAATTAATTTCAAGTTTTGAGAGACAAAATGCTGAAATCTGTATCCTATAAAATAATCTTGAAATATTAAGACCTCCTAAAAATTAAAATAATTTGTTGCCATATACCTGCTTTGCAAGAAATGAAAATACTTAGAAAGAAGGAAAATTATATAGGTCAGAAACTTGGATTTACATAAAGAAAGGAAGAGCATTAGAGAAGAACTACTGAAAGCACAACAAAAATTAATTTTCCTATAAATTAAATTGATCTAACCAATAGCAGTTTATTCAAGAGAATAACAGTAACAATATACATAATCAATGATACCAGGGAAAGGAAGGAGGAATTATGAAAATTGTAGCATAGGGTACTTGCAATGATAAAGAATATAGAAATATTTGAAGTGAGTTTGATTAGTTGTAAATATAAATTATAAACTCTAGACCTATAGCTACAAAAATTTTTAAAAAGAAGTACAATGATATACTAAAAAGGAGACAAAATGAAATCACATAAAATCTACAAGTAAAACCATAAAAGGGAGAGCAGATGTTTAGCCTAGTGGCTAGACACATGGATCCCACATCAGAGACTGTGAATTCAATACCCAGTTTCCGGACTCTAGCTTCCTGCCAGTATAGATCCTAAAAAGTAGCTGTGATTAGATGTTGCCACTCACACTGGAGACCTGGACAGAGTTCCTGGCACCTGGATCCAGCTTCAGTTTAACCCTAGCTCCTGGGGGAATTTTCAGGGGTACCAGCTGATGGGAGCTCATTGTCTGTCTCTGTATGTTTATTTCTCTCTATCTGCCTCTCAAATAATGAACAGTAGCAAAATATTTAAAAAGGGCAAAAATAATGGAAGACAATGCTAGCAACAAAGAATAAGGGGAACAAAATGCAAACAGTGATAAGCATAAGTATAAATACACCCAATACTGATAATACTTTAAATGTCAATTTTCTAAGTATACATATTAAAAACCAGAGATGGTCAGAATGATTCAAAAAATGTGACCCAACTAATCATTATCTACATGAAATCCAATATAAAATAAGTGTACATTTAGATTAAAAGTAAATAGATATAAAAGAGATACATCATGTTAGCACTAATCGAAAAGTTGGGTAGCTATATTAAAACTGGAAGAGCAAACTTCAGTGCAAGGAAAAAGAAATGAGCTCCATTATGCCACAGAAAGGCATGCAGAAAACTGAAATGCCTATTGAGTAGAAAAAGCCAATCTGCAATCGTTGTGTCCTGAGTGATTCCAATTACAAGACTTAAAGGAAAAGGAAAACCATAGAGTAAAATAATCAGCATTGTTTTCCTCTCCTACCTTCGTAATTACCACTTTGATCCTGCTGAGGTGTGGATCCTAATGCTTGGACCTCACTTGCTTTTGTCCGTATCCAGGACAGCTGCTCAGCAGATGCTTCTGATGCCCAGTCACACATGTCGGATTCAAATCCACAGGCGTGACATACTGAAGAGGAGAGAAAAAAGTGCCGAAGGTCTGCCACAAGCTACTAAGTGGATGCTTACCCAACGTTATCTATTATGATCAAATCAACTAGAAGCATAACATACACACACATGCACACAGATCATATCTGGAATTTTTGATACAGTAATACTTAGAACACCCAAGTAACTCTGTTTGCCAAAACCTTCAGTTGATCCCGCTGGGTATCCTCCCAAATGAGAATCATCAGCATAAAAAAAAGAAAAGATATTCCTATTTCTTGTACCACTTTGATTGCAATTTTTAAAATGATATAATACAACTTCATTATTTTCTTTTTAAGACTATAATGTAAATTAAAAATGTTATCTCAAAAATTTAAAATTTCATATTAAAATGACATAATACAAGAGTATTAAAAACTCATGGAAAGCTGGAATTAAAATTGTGATACAAAATTTTGAAATCCATGCATAGATTTTCATTAATCCATATTTTCCATGAACTATCTGATGCACCTTTATGTTTGACTTTATCTACTTTATCAAATTAGTTTAAATTAACTATTCCTAATCACATTGATATTTTAAAGGAAAAACATTGTATATGATCCCAATGTGGTCTGTAATGCCACTGCTTTTTAAGATATCACCTTAAAAGGGCAGGCACTGTGGCATGGTAGACTAAGCCTCCACCTGGGGTGTCCCAGCTGCTCCTGATCTAGCTCTCCGTTGCGGCCTGAGAAAGCATTGGAAGATGGTCCAAGTCCTTATAACACTCCAGCTTAAACTAGGACATTAATGTCAACAAGATTGATATGTGCATATCTCTATGGGGGTCTCTGAGTCTCAAGAATTGCCTACACACCAACAAGATGGGCATCTCAGTCTAACACTTACATCTCAATCCTTCATGTGGAGAATCGAATCTGCAGAGGTCTGCAACTGGATGGCATAGTTCCTGATGGGTCTCAGACGCTTCTTGACATGGTAAAATTTCATCTGTTAAGTTTAAAAATGTGGAATAGGTGAAATGCAGATGCAACTGGAAAGCCATGTACTTCTTACAATGTTAATATTTATTCTACACAGCATCTTCCTCTCACCTTCTCTCCATAATAGCATCAGTCCTGGGCAACCCCTTAAGGAAACTTTTTTTCTTATTGAGGCAAAAATTCATACACGAACACATACACAGAGTCAGAGACAGTAAAACAACTATGCCAAGGCTTTTGTATTTTAATGAGATCTCTGTGGTTACTGGCAAGTCCCAAAATTAAATATCCATTTTCTATGGAAATAGGTAATCTGTCTAAATGCTCAAAACTAAAAGCTCATTATTGGAAGGACATTTATACTGGCATCAAATATAACATATGGTACCCTTTTTAACTAGGAATTAGACCTTCCCTGGAACTACTCTCCTCTTAAAGTATACAGATTTTCTATTTTCTTTTCCTACAGTCTTCTCAACTAAAGAAATGCATGAAGGTAGCTTTGGTGTCATGACTGCTCCTCTTGCCACTTACAGAAAGTTCTTGATATCACCCTTCTAGAAACCACTGGCCTCTTTTGATAGCAAATGGCACCCCTCCCTGGACCAGCTCGATACAGTCACCTATAAACATTGATGAACTATACCTGAGTACCTGCAGATTTGAGCTCTTACCTCACAGTCACTATATCATTTTCCAATATTCACTTCCACCTTGCTTTTCAGCTTCCTAATCTCTTCTTAGCTAGTATTTTGTTGAGAATTGCTGCATCTATGTTCATCACAGATATTGGTCTATAGTTCTCTTTCTCTGTTTTATCTTTTTCTGGTTTGGGAATTAAGGTGATGCTGGCCTCATAGAAGGAGTTTTGGAGGATTCCCTCCCTTTCAATTGTTTTGAATAGTTTGAGAACAACTGAAAGTAGTTATTCACTAAAAATCTGGTAAAATTCATCAGTGAAGTCATCCAGTCATGGGCTTTTCCTTGTTGAGAAGGTCTTTATTACTGATTCGATCTCCATCTCGGCTACTGGTATGTTCAGGTTTTCTGTATCTTCGTGACTAAAACTTGGTAGATTGTGTACAGGAATCTATACATTTCTTCTATGTTTCCTAATTTGTTGGCATACAACTCTTCGTAGTAATTGCTGGTGATTCTTTGTTTCTGTAGTATCTGTTGTTACAATTTTTCCATCTCTGATTTTATTTATTTTGGTCCTTTTCCCTTTTTTTGGTTAGTTTGGCCAATGGTATACAAATTTTATTTTTTATGAAAACCAGCTCTTCATTTCACTGATATTTGTGGGGTTTTGGATTAATTTCATTTCTTTCCTAATTTTAATTATTTCTTTCCTCCTAATAATTCTGTGGTTTATTTTTTGTGGCTTTTCTGGGTCCTTGAAATTGGTTGATAGTTTGTCTAAGTCTTCAAGGTGCATCATTATATATTTAATATGAGACATTTTCTTTTGTTAATGTAAGCACTTAATGCTATAAACTTTCCTCTTAATATTGTTTTTGCTGTATCTCACAATAAGTTGTGTTTTTATTTTCATTTAGTTCAATAAAGTGTTTTATTTCCTTTTTAATTTCTGCAATGACCCATTGATCATTCAGTAACATATTCTTTATTTTCCAAGTAGCTATGAGTGTCCTATTATTCTTCTTGCAGTTGATTTCCAGTTTTATTCCTTTATAGTCTAAGAAAATACATGGTATAGTTTCAATATTTTACATTTTCCTGAGATTTGATTTGTAGCCTAATATCTAGCCTATCCTAGAAACTGTTGCATGTGCTGATAAGAATATGTGGGTCAATAACTAGAGGGTGGAACAGGAAGTATTACTATGCTCTTAAATCTGTATTATGAAATACATCAATTTGTTCACCTTATGTAAATAAAAAATTAAACCAATATTTGTATACACAAACAACGCCATCAGGGGTATGGGAGAACTTGTAATATCAGTTCCACTCACAATAACTATAAAAATATTTTGGGTTAAATTTAACCAAGTATGTGAAAGTTCTCTACAATAAAAATTACAGAACATTAAGGAAGGAAATAGAAAAGAAAATATTCCATGCTCATGGATTGGAAGAATTAATACCATCAAAATGTCCAAAGCAATTTACAGATACAATGAGATCCCAATCAAAATACCAAAGACGTTCTTCTCAGATCTAGAAGAAATGATTCTAAAATTAATATGGAATCACGAGAAATCCTGAATAGCTAGAGAAATCCTGGGGCTATGCTGTGGCATAGTGGATAAAGCCTCCACCTGCAATGCGGACATCCCATATGAGTGCCAGTTCAAGACCCAGCTGCTTCACTTTCAATCCAATTCTCTGTTATGGCCTGGGAAAACAGTAGAAGATGGCCCAAGTACTTGGGCCCCTGCACCTGCATGGGAGACCTAGAAGAAGCTCCTGGCCCTGGCTTCAGATCAGCCCAGCTCTGGCCATTTGGGGAGTGAACCAGCAGATGGAAGATTTTCTATTTCTCTCTCTCTTTCTCTGCCTCTGCCTCTCTGTAACTCTCTCATTAATATAAATAAATAAATCTTTAAAAAGTCCTAAACAATAAAAATAAAGCTGGAGGCATCACAATGCCATATTTCAAGACATATTATGGAGCAGTTATAATCAAAGCAGCCTCATACAGCCTCAAGAATAGACATGTGGACTGATGGAACAGATTAGAGTACCCACCCAGAAATTAACCCATATATCTACAACCAACTAATCTTTGACAAATGAGCTAAATGCACTCCCTGGAGAAAGGACAATTTCTTCAACAAATGCCATGAGAAAATTGAATCTCTGCATGCAGAAGTATGAAACAAAACCACTACCTTACACCTTATACAAAAATCAACTCACAATGGATCAAGGATCTAAACCTAAGACCTGAATCCATCAAATTACTAGAAGAAAACATAAGGGAAACACTGCAAGACATTGGCATACGCAAAGCCTTCTTGGATAAGATGCCAGAAGCACAGGGAATATAAGCCAGCATAAACAGATGGAATTACATAAGCTAAGAAGCTTCTGCACAGCAAAGGAAACACTCAACAAAGTAAAGAGGCGACTGACAGAATGGGAGAAAATATCTGCAAACCATACATCTGATAAAAGATCAATATCCAGGATGTATACAACTCAGCCACCACAAAATAATCTACAAAAGAAGTAGGCTCAATAGGCTAGTCCTCCGCCTGTGGTGCTGGCACCCCGGGTTCTAGTCCCATTCAGGGTGCCAGATTCTGTCCTGATTGCTCCTCTTCCAGTCCAGCTCTCTGCTGTGGCCTGGGAGTGCAGTGGAGGACGGCCCAGGTCCCTGGGCCCTGCACTCGCATGGGAGACCAGGAGAGGAACCTGGCTCCTGGCTTCGGATCAGAGCAGTGCACTGGCCACAGTGCGCCAGTCACAGCGGCCATTGAGGGGTGAACCAACGGAAAAAGGAAGACCTTTCTCTCTGTCTCTCTCTCACACTGTCCACTTGCCTGTCAAAAAATAAAATAAAATAAAATAATAATAAAAAAAGAAGTAGGCTTAGGATATGAACTGGTGTTTTTCAAAGAATGAAACACAAATGGCCAACAGACGTAAAAACCATAATGAGGTTTCACCTAATCCAGTGAGAATTGCTATCATCCAAAAATTAAACAAATAACAAATGCTAATGGAAATGTAGGGGGAAATAAACCCTAATCTACTGCTTTAGTGAATGTAAAATATACAATCATTATGGAAGACAGTATGGAGTTTCTTTACAAATCTGAAAAACAGATTACCCAGCCATTCCCTGGAAATTTTCCCAAAGGAAATGAAATCATCATATGAGTTATCTGTTCTCCCATGTTTATTGCTGCTCAACTCACAATACCTAAGATATTGAATTTACCCAGATGTCCATCAACTGACTACTGGATAAAGAAATTATGGTATACATACATAGTAGAATACAACTCAGCCATATTAAAGAACTAAATCTTATCTTTTGCAACAAAATCGATGCAATTAAAGACCATAATGCTTGTTGAAATAAGCCAGTCCATAAAAGATTAACATCCTATGTTTTCCCTGATTTGTGATAACTAATATACAGAGGACAAAAATTCAATATATATGAGTGAAATTAATATTCTGAGACTTGATTATTGTTTATAGTCATTGCCTATACTTTTGAGTAACCTTGGTTTTTCTACCTACTACTTGTATACTTTATTTAGTAGGTAGTTAAACTTGTGATTATAATGTAAACTGAAAGCATATTACTATAAATTAAAAGAAAAATAAGAAAAGGAAGAGAGATGGTGGGAGCATGGGCAGGAAGGAGGGTATGGTGGGAAGTATCATTATGCACTTAACACTGTATATATGGGGCCTGTGCTGTGGCACAGTAGGTTAATCCTCTGACTGCAGTGCCAACATACCAAATTGGTGCTGGTTCTAATCCTAGCTGCACCTCTTCCAACCCAGCTCTCTGCTATGGCTTGGGAAAGCAGCAGAAGATGGCCCAAGCACTCAGGCCCATGCAGCCACATGGGAGACCCGGAAGGAGCTCCTGGATCCTGCCTTCAGATTAGCGAAGCACTGGCCGTTGTGGCCATTTGGGGAGTGAACCAGCCCTTTCTCTCTGTCTCTCTCCTCACTATCTATAACTCTACCTCTCAAATAAATAAATAAAATCTATTAAGAAACTGTATATATGAACTATATAAAATGTGTTGCCCTTGTATAAATAAAAAAATTTAAATAAATTTTTTAAATAAATGACTTAATAAATATTTGACAAAATGTTTAAAATAGGCTCTTATGAATCATTTACATTCTTATTTGTGATGTTACTGAAGCAACTGAAAATGAAAATGATTAACTCATCTGTAATATGATTTCTCATAATGGAAATTTATTAATAATGAATATGCAAATCCTCTTGAATATAAGATCCACAAAAAATGAACCTGTCTAAGCAATTAATGGAACACTGGCAAT